TCTCAATTTGCTCAGGATCGGCGCTCCCGCCTGTGACTTCCTCGCAATTTAGTCAGGGCCCCCCCTCCCGTCTGAGGCTTCCTCACAATTTACTGAAGGAACGGCGCTCCCGCTTAAGATATCCTTGCGCTTCAGTCTAGACCCCCGCTCCCGACAGACATCCCCTTTTCAGGAATTGCGTTCTCCTGTGTTGGAATTGCTGGCGCAAGCCATGGCGCAAGCTGAATCGCAACTCTCGGCACAAATCATCGTTGTCCCTCTTTCTTGTCCTTCTAATCCCTCCCTTCCTCCGATCCCTTCGTCATCTCTTTTTGTCTTTTCCCTTTTGTTTCCCTGTTTAGGGGCTCCTCCAATTACAGGTGGCCAGGAAGGAATATAACCCCCCCCAAAAATGGGTACGATCGAAGACGAAGAGGGCGGGTATCCAGGGTTTGAGATATGCATCGTGAATGACACGCGGGCCGGTAGGAGCGAACAGTCTTGGAATGATTGTTGAACTTTCATTTCTGAAGAATACTTATTGTTGATCCCCCCTTACCGGTGCAGACTGTTTTTTCTCAGTCAAAGTGTGCCTCTCGACGCTCGCACCCTGTTTTTTCACAGGGGCAGTCTTCGTGCTCAAACTGGGCCCCTGGCCCCCTGGATTACAACAACAACGGCTCCCGCCTGAGACTTCCTCCAAATTTACTCAGGACCCCCCCTCCTGAGACTTCCCCCCAATTTACTCAGGATCGGTGCTCCCGCCTATGACTTTCTCGCAATTTAGTCAGGACCCCCGCTCCCATGTCAGACTGCCTCACAATCTACTCAGGAACGGCGCTTCCGCTTGAGACTTCCCTGCAATTGGATCAAGGCTTCCTCGCAGTTTAATCAAGACACCCGCTCCCGCCAGAAAACCCTTCCATTTTATTCAGGAATTGCGCTCTCGCCTGTGGCATCCATGCAATTTATTCAGAAATCGCGCTTTCGACGCTCAGGAAACACGCTGCGCAAAGGACGCCGTTACAATTTTTTGATTAATCGTACCCTCGCCATACTCAGGCATCCCGCTTGAATGTCCCACCCGCCCGACCCGCCCGTCAGGGGATCGCCCGCCCGTCGTGGGCTTCCGCCCGAGACTTCCTTCAGGAACGGCGCTTTCGCCTAGGACTTCCTCGAACGTTCACGCTCTTACCTTCCTGCTCCTCCTCCCTCTCCCTCCTCCCCCCTCCCTCCTCTCCTCCCTCCTCTCTTCCTCATCCTTACGCCTCTCTGCTCAATCCCCTCTCCCTCCTCTCCCTCCTCCCTTCTCCCTCCCCTCTCCTGCCTCCTTCCTCCCCTTGTTTTTTTCGTTCTCTCTCTCTCTCTCTGTCCCTCCCCCGCCCTTCCTCCCACTCACCGTCGTTCTCCCCCTCTTCATTTTGCAGGGCCCACACCAATTCCAATGGCGGGCACATGTACGCCCACGAAGGATTGTCCGCCCGTTCAGGTTTGCCCGCCTGTCGAAGCCCGCCGCCCCCCCCGCAAAGAGAAATTATCCCAGTGCGACCCTACCTAGGAGTTGGAGCCTCTAGGAAAGCAGCATGCTATGCTATGCTATGCTGCGCTATGCCATGCTGCGCTATGCTATGCTATGCTATGTTATGTTTTGCTGTACCTTCGTTTTTGCCTTCACTTTTGCCTTTGCTTTTGCTTTTGCTTGACACCCATGGAGCGCAACTGGGGGAACCGCGCGTTTGCTTTTACCCTTGCTGTTGCTTTCGCTTGGCTCCCAGGGGACCGGGGGGACCGCCCGGGGCGGTTTGCACTGCCCGGCCCTTTTACACCAAGACCGTAAGAACCCTTCTAGGCAGAGCCTAGGTAGGGAATAATCCCCCCAAAGGGGGTGTGATCGAAGACAAAAAGGGCGGGTATCGAGGGTGTGGGGAACTCGTTTTGGATGACACGCGGGCAAGTAACAGCGAACAGTCTTAGAATGGTTGGTGTTGTTGTTGCTGTTGTTGTTGTTGTTGTTATTGTTGTTGAACATTATTTATCCTAAAGAATAATTATTGTTGGGACCCCTGGTGCGCGGCCCCCTCGCCGCGCCTAGGCCGCAGCCACATTTTTATCATTTTCGTGAGGAAGTCTCAGGCAAAACGTGGGTGTCCGGATCCGGTTGTTTTGTTGTCCCCCGTTTTCCCTTGCAAAAAATAAGCTAAAGTGGACATTTCTTGTTCTAACATAACCAAACTTCAAGAATCCCTTGCAAAAAATAAGGTAAAGTGGACATTCGCGCGCGCAAGACGAAATCCTTCCAAAACCTTAGTTTTCGTAGCGATTTTAACATAAAAACATCAAAAAACCAATGGTTTTTCAAAAAAAAATGTCAAAATTTCATCCCGCGCGCTCTTGCGGATTCGTAGGAAACCCAACACTTTTTAAACATTTCTGTCAAACGGGCTTTTGCGAGCAACTTTTTCGAACTTCTGCAACAACGGTTGCGCACCTGCCAGGGCCATCATCCCTGTCAAATAATACCATGCGGGACACATTCGTTTTTTCTTCGCGCGCGCACGCCGTCGTCGTCGGCCGCGGGGCCCTGAATAGTAGCCACGGTCGTCCGCATGCCACGAAGTGAAGTGTCCGAACGTCATAGGGCGGGAAGCTGGGTGTGGGTGGTGGCGAAGAGTCGTTTGGAAATTTGGTAGAGCTTGAACCGGCCCCCCCACAAAGTGGGGGTATTGCCCGCCTCCTATGAAAACCCTGGCACTGGTGAGAACGGAGTGTCCCCACGTGCTAGTAATTATTGTTGTTGTTGTTGTTGTTGTTGGTGTTGTTGGTGTTGTTGTTGTTGTTGTGGTTGTTGTTGTTGATGTTGTTGTTGATGTTGTTGTTGTTGTTTTTGTGGTTGTTTTGGTGGTTGTTTTTGTGGTTGTTTTTGTGGTTGTTGTTGTTGTGTTTGTGGTTGTTGTTGTTGTTGTTTTCTGTTGTTGTTGTTGTTGTTGTTGTTGTCTGCTTCATCGTCGTCCTCGCCGCCGTCGCCGATCGTCGCCTCCCATTCCGGGCGCCGGCACCGAGGGCTCTGCTCCCTCTGAGACGTGGTCGTCCATTCGTCGCCCTCGTCGCCGTCGTCGTCGTCGTCGTCGACTTCCGTCGTCGTTATCGTCGCGTCGTCGTCGACATCGTCGTCGTCCGTCGTCGTCGTCGGTCGTCGTCGTCGTCGTTGTCGTCGTTGGTCGTTGTTGTCGGCGCCGCCGTCGTCGTCGCCGCCGTCGTCGTCGCACTGGTCGTCGTCATCGCCCTTGTCGGCGCCGTTCGTCGGTCGTCGGTCGTCGACGTCGTCGGTCGTCCGTTGTCGTGGCCGCGGCCGTCGTCGTCGTCATACTGGTCGTCGTCGTCGTCGCCCTCGTAGTCGGTCGTCGGTCATCTGACGTTCTGGTGGTCGTCGTCGTCGTCGTCGGTCGTCGGACGTTGTCATCGGTGGTCGGTCGTCGTATGTCCGTCGACGTCGTCGTCGTCGGTGGTCGTTGTAGTCGTGGTCGTCGTGGTCGTCATCCGTCTTCGTCGTCGTCGTCGCCCTCGTCGCCGACGGCCGCGCCGTTGTCGCCCAAGAACGCGGTCGGGCTACGGGCGTCGTTCGTCGGTCACCGGTCGTCGGTCGTTCTCGTCGTTGTCGCCGTTCTCGTCGTCGTCGTCGTCGTACTCGTCCTCGTCACCGCCCTCGTTGTCGTCGTCGGTTGTCGGTCGCCCGTTGTCGTCGTTATCGCCGATGCCGTGATCGTACTGGTCGTCGTCGTCGCCCTCGCCGTCGTCGCCGTCGTCATCGTCATCTCCCTCGTCGTTGTTGTCGGTCGTCAGTCGTCTGTCATCCGACGTTGTGTTGGTCGTCGTCGTCGTCGGTCGTCAGTAGTTTTCGTCGGTCTCTGGTCGTCGTTCGTCGGTTGACGTTCGTCGGTCGTCGTCGTCGTCGTCGTTGGTCGTCGTGGTCGTCGTGGTCGTCGTCCGTCGTCTTCGTCGTCCTCGTCGTCGTCGTGGTCGTCGTCTGTCATCTTCGTCGCGTTCGTCGTCGCCGACGGCTGCGCCGTTTTTGCCCAAGGCCGCGCTCGGGCTACGGTCGTGCGCCGTCGGTTTTCATCGGCGTTGGTCGTCGTCGTCGTCCATCGTCGTCGGTCGTCGTCGTCGTCGTAGTTATCGTAGTTGTCGTAGTCATAGCCCCTCGTCGCCGTCCGTCGTCGGGCGTCGGTTGCTGTCGTCGTCGGTCGTCCGTTGTCGTCGTCGTCGCTGTCGTCCTCGTACTGGTCGTCGTCATCGCCCTCGTCGTCGTCGGTTTTCGTTCGTCGGTAATCTGAGGTTGTGGTGGTCGTTTTAGCCATCGGTCGTCGGTCGTTGTCGTCGGTCGTCGTTCGTCGGTGGTCGTTCGTCGGTCGTCGTCGTCGTCGGTTTTCGTTGTCGTCGTGGCCGTAGTGGTCGTCGTCCGTCGTATCAGTCGTCGCCCTCGTCGCCGACGGCCGCTCCGTAGTCGCCGAAGATCGCGCTCGGTCTACGGTCGTCGTCGGTCGTCGTCGTCGTAGTTTGTCGTTATCGTCGTTGTCGTCGTTGTCGTGCTGGTCGTCGTCATGGCCCTCCTCGTTGTCGTCGGTCGTCGATCATCGGTCGTCATCGTCTGTCGTCGGACTACGGTCGTCGGTCGTTGTCGTCGTCGTCGTTGGTCATCGTCGCCGTCGTCGGTCGTCGTTGTCGTCGTACTAGTCCCCGTCATCGCCCTTGTCGTCGGTCGTCCTGTCGTCGTCGGTCGTCGGTCGTCTCCGTCGTCGTCGTCGGCCGTCGGTCGTCGGTCATCGGACGTTGTTGTGGTCGTCGTCGGTCGTTGGTCGTCGGAGGTCGTTCGTCGGTCGCCGTCGTCGTACGTCGTCGTACGTCGTCGTCGTTGTCGTCGTGGTCGTTGTGGCCGTCGTCCGTCGTCTTCGTCGTCTTCGTCGTCTTCGTCGTAGTCGCCCTCGTCGCCCTCGTCGCCGACGGCCGCGCCCTTCTCGCCCGAGGCCGCGCTCGGGCTTCGGTCCGATGCTGCCTGGCCAGCAGGCCCACCCCCCTGCCGCCCGCCAGCGGGCGGCCGCCCCGCAGCCGCCCTCGCCGTCGCTGCCTCCGCAACGGCCGTCGACGGCGCCGCCGCCGCCCGGTCGCCGACCTCGCCGTCGACGTCGCCGTCGACGTCGCCGTCGCCGTCTTCGTCGCCGCCGCCGCCGTAGTCGCCGCCAGCGTCGCCTTCGCCGACGTCGCCGTCGCTGTCGGCGACGACGTTGTGGCCGGCCGCCGCCGCCGCCGCCTGCGCGACCTCCGCAGCCCCCGTCGCCTCCGTCTTCTCTGATTTTCCTGTGGTTCCCATGCCGCGTCCTCAAGGAGGCTGACGAGGTTCGAGAGTTACCTCGGGGGCGGGGACGAGTAGGAGGAGGAGGAGGAGGAGGAGGAGGCGGAGGAGGAGCAGCAGGAGGAGGAGGAGGATGAGGAGCAGGAGGGGGAGGAGCAGGAGGATACACATGATCGGGATGAGCAGGGGGACGAGGGGTTGAGGATGACTAGCACAAGGGGAACGAGGAGGACGAGGGCCTGGAGGACGGTGAGGACGAGGTACCGAGAGCACAGCCCAGCGCAGTCCTCGTGCAGCGACACGGGTGTGTTTAAGGGTCTTCCCTCTTCCTTCTCCTCCTCCTCCTCCTCCTCCTCCTCCTCTTCCTTCTCCCCTGGATTCCCGCAAACACCCGTCTCTCTCTCGCCCCCCCGCCGCCGCTGAATTTCGTGTGAGCGACGGCCTGCATGCGTCATCGCCGATCTATCGGCGAAGTACCTCCGATTCCAGCTCGATGGTTCTCCCTCTAAAGGTGGTCCCCCCCTAACGTCGCGCTCCGGCCCCTGGCCGAGGAGGGCGACAGACAACGGAGGAGGACCTCCGACGCCACCGCACGCCCAGGGCGTTGGCGCCGCCGACGACCACTCGCGCCACTTCGCGGCCGGCAGGACGCCGCCGCCGCTGCCGGCGCCGACGACGACGACGACGACGACGACGACGGCGACGGCGACGGTCACTGCGACGGCGACGGCGACGGCGACGACGACGGCGACGGCGACGGCGACGACGACGACGTCGACGTTGACGTCGACAACGACGGCGGCGGCGGCGGCGACGACGACGTCGGCGACGATGGCGACGGCGACGACGACGATGACGACGGCGACGACGGCGACAACGGCGGCGACAACAACGGCGACGACTCGGACGAAGACGCCGACGACGACGACGACGACGACGACGGCGACGACGGTGACTACGACGTCGAGGACGACGAGGGCAGCAGGGGCGGCGAGGACGACGAGGGCGAGGAGAAGGGCCGAAGGCCTTCAGAAATCCCTGGCGGCCTTTTGCAGACGCCGTCGACGAGGATGGGGACGCCGACGAGGATGGCGACGCCGACGGGACGGCGGGGGTCGTCGTCGTCGTCGTCGTCGTCGTCGTCGTCGTCGTCGTCGTCGTCGTCGTCGTCGTCGTCGTCGTCGTCGTCGTCTTGTGCCTTCCCCTCCCTCCCTCCTCTCTCGTCCGTGCCTCTCTCCTTGCCCCATTTCCCCTCTCTCCCTCCCTGCCTCTCTCTCCCCTCGCTCCCTCGCCTGCACCGGATGATGTTTTCAGATCGCCGCCGCTGGCTTGGACTGCTTTGCACTGGGTAAGATACTTGAGCAGCTTGGGGCAGGAGAGGCAGCTGACCAGATGGGTGATTAGGTTGCCAAGAATAGGGGAACAAAAAGTGACATAAACATAAAAATTCGGAGGTCCGCGCGGATTTTTCGGATCGGCGCTGGGTCCCCCGGCGGCGCCTCCGGCGCCGCCCCTGGCGCGCTCCGCGCGCCAGGGAGGGGCGTCCAGCGCCGATCCGAGAATTCCGCGCGGACTTCCGAGTTGTTATGTTTATGTCACTTCTTGTTCCCCTCAAGAAGCTTCCCAAGTTGGTCACAAATGCACAGGTCAGCCTCATTGGCTCTGCGGCGCAGCCCACGTCAGTGTCAGCGGCGGCCCCTCCCGCTGCAGCTGGAGAGGCTGGCACTCCTGCCGCAGGTGTTCAGGAGGGAAAAAGCACACAGACATAACTAATCGTCGATTTCTATGGGAAGATATGGAAAGTGGGGGGGAAGACAAAAACCCAGAAAATATTGGAAATTATGGGTCGCCTCACTGTTTCCATCGCTGATGTTGTAGTTTTCAGCCGCAGGATCGCTCCGCAGCATGATGTTCTGGCCGTGATCAGTACTGATGTTCGTGCTTTCTTCTTGGCTGGAGTGACTTCTCCAGGCCTCGCAGAGTTTGAATATGTCACGTTCGGCGCCGTTGCGCAAGCAGATGAGTGCGCCACGGAGCTCGATAAAGCCAGCATCTCACAATGAAAGCAGTGGATGAGCACTGCCTTTCTCAATGGCGCGGGCAAGGCCCACCGTCTTACTCGGTTGCTGGCGCTGCAGCGCAACGTCATGAACGCAGACCGCGCGCGGCCGCGCCAGCCTGCTGATGATGACGTGTGGTCGTGGCGCGCAGCATGGACATGTCGCGACGCGCAGCGCGCGCTGCCCCCTTCCACGCGCGTCCACTGGCACGACCTCCCCTTCGTCGCAGTAGAGGACGCGCGCGTGACCATACGGGCATTTTCTTGGGAATCAGCGCCAGCGCCCACAAGGATCCACCCCGGGGATTTCAGCTACGTCTCCGACGAGGGGCTCCGGGCGGTCTCGGAACTGTTTATGCAGCGTGATAGGCTGCTTTTGTGTCCCAGTCAAAGGATTGTGAATGAGATGGTTCGCGTGGCCAAGCCTGACGGAGGCATTGGATTTACCGCATTGGCGGAGAGCTTGGTGAGGTTATGGACCAGGATGCGCAGGCCCAAATCTAGAGCCTGGGTCAAGCGACGCGATGGCAAGCGCATATGGGGCAATCGTCGCGGGCATTCGTCGTCGCGCGCAGCGTTGGGGCATAGTCTACGAGCAGAGGTAGCATCGCAGCTAGGTGAACATTCTAACAACATTGCTGCTGATATGTGGAGTCGCTTCGGGGCGGCGCTGTTTCCTGCGCTGATGTCCGTTGCAGTTGTGCTTCATTATCCATTGCGTCTGTTGTGCATGCTTCTACAGTCTCATGGTCGACCCCGCGTGATCGAGGCGCATGGATGGTGGAGTTTGCCCTCTTGGGCACAGCAGGGCACCCTGGCCGGCTGCGCGCGCGCGCGCGACGGCGCTGCTCAGCATCTTGACGCTCCGCGCCACCACCAGTGCCCACGTTAGGCATGCTATGGCTATGCCCAGAGCTCTGGTTGATGATAATACCCTGCAGTGGATTGGTAATTCGCTCGAGCAGGTTTCTGAACTTTCGGAGGCTGTCTTGGATGTTAAGGAGGAGGCTTGGGATCTAGGGCTCATCGGTCAACTTGAAAAATCTGGAAGGGTTTCGAGTTCTCGGGCGACCTGGAGATCGTTCGACCGGCGAGCTGAGCAGCTGCGCCTCACGGCGAAGAAATGGACGAGCAACGTGTGACGCGAGGTCCCGGGAAATAACGACCAAGGAAAAGGCTGCCACGAGACTTCGAAAGCTTAATGCTAGGATGCCGAGGATAATGATGGCACGCAAGAGTGCTGCGGCACAGGTAACAGCGCTGTGGCGTTCAGGTCTTTTTCCCGCCGCGGCGCGTGGCGCCTCTGCATCAGGCGCGTCTGAGCTCGAGCTCGCCAAGCTGCGCCGCGCTGCCGGTGCGATCTCTGGCAGGCGGGCATCTTTTACGTCGCTCGCGTTGGTGTTGTCCGCGCAGAGAACGATAAATCTATATATATATATATGTATATATATAAATATGTATATATGTGTTTGTATATATACATATACAAGTGGCACGTGTGTGCCCAGGCTCATGCAAAAACTGAAGGGGCGTTTGAAGCAGGAGTGACATTCAACATCGAAGTCGCACTCGAGCGCAAGTGGGGTTGCCACACCTTGCGATGTGTGTACCAAGGCCCCCAGGAAGCCTTAGGAGGCCCGACTTGGATACCAGAAGAGGCTCCAGGAGGCCCCAGGATTGAGAGTGTTGTGCGCGTGTGTGTGTGTGTGTGTGTGTGTGTGTGTTTGTGATGTATGCTTCGTGTGGTGCGTGCTTTTTGTGTTTTGTAGGTGTTGTGTGTGTGTGTGTGTTATGTTTGTCTAGCGTGTGATGTGTTGGGCGTGATTTGTGTCTCTGTGTGCATGTAGTTCTGAAGCCCCAGGAGGCCCCAGGAGGCCCCAAGCGGCCTCAGGAGGCCCCAGGAGACCCCAGGAGGCTTCAGGAGGCCCCAAGAGGCTCCAGGAGGCCGCAGGAGGCCCCAGGAGGCCTCAGGAGGTTTCAGGACACCCACAGGAGGCTCCGAGGCGGGGTCTGGGGTGCCTGAAGGTTCAGAAGGCCCAGGAGGCCCCAGGAGGTTCCAGGAGGCCCCCAGGAGGCTCCGAGGCGGGGTCTGGGGCTCGATTTTGGAAGGATTTTTCAAGCGAAACCGCCATTCACTGAGAATCGGGGTCACAATTATTGAAATTACCATTTGTTTTTCAAGGTTGTATGTTAAAATGTTGAATTTCCCATGTGTTTTTGGGCCCTGACGTCGCGATCTGCGTGAGGGGTGCCACCGATTTTCAGAATTTCGAGGATGTCCCGAGCGAAACGCCCAGAAAAATCGCGGACGCGTGCGCACTAATCGCCTCTGAGCTCTACTCCCTCGGAGAGGTGCGTATGAGAATATATACATATGCTAGAACCACGCTCAACACCGCCAATGCCGAATACACGCCCAAATGGCTCCCAAAATATCAGTTTCCTCATAGGAAATCTACGATTGTTGCTTAATGTGCCACTCTCGGGGTGCCTCTTGGGGCGTCTTCGGAGCCTCTTTTAATGTTTTTTTCTGGTCTCATGGGGGCCTCTTGGGACTTCTGGGCCCTTTCTTGGGGTGTCCTTTAGTCTCTTGGGCCAACAGGCCAAAATTTCCGGTTCCTCGTCCCCGTCTTGGGCGCCGCCTTGGGGCGTTCGCCTCGCGGGCCGTCTTGGCCCCCTCGTGGGCCGTCTCGGGGCCCTCTTGGGGGCGTCCTCGACCGGCTTGGGCGCCTCTTGGGCCGTCTTGGACGCAGTGGGCGCCCAAAAGGCAAACGCGCCAAGAGTATCAGTTTTCCCATAGGAAATCTACGATTTTTGTTTATTGGGCCACTCTCGGTGTGCCTCTTGGGGCGTCTTCGGGGCCTTCGGGGGCCGCCTTGGCGTCGTGGGGGTCGTCTTGAAATGCGTATGGAGCCATCGCTGCGGCCCCCTGGGGCCCCCCTTGCAGCCTCTTGGGGCCCTGTCTGGCCCGGGGCGCCGAAACCTGTAAAAACATAAGGAAAACGACGCCCGGTCCCCCCGTGCGCCGTCGGGGTCGCGGCCCCAGGCCCCCGGGCCTCGTGCGCGGGGATATATATATATATATATATATATATATATATAGATATAGATATAGCCCTGCGCACCCACCAAGAACGCCCCTTTCTCATGATTATATATGATTTTACATATGATTCCTACGATTTTCGGACTCACTTTTGAGGCTCTTTTTTGGAAGACTTTTTGGGCTCCCTTCTACTCAACTCCCTCCGTCTCCAACACAACACCAATTACTCAACAGCCTCCTTCTCCAACACAACACCCGATACTCAACAGGCTCCCTCCCCAAGCTGAACTTGAAAAGAACCTTCTACTCAACTCCCTCCGTCTCCAACACAACACCCAGTACTCAACAGCCTCTTTCTCCAACACAACACCCGATACTCAACAGGCTCCCTCCCCAAGCTGAACTTGAAAACAACCTTCTACTCAACTCCCTCCGTCTCCAACACAACACCCAGTACTCAACAGCCTCCTTCTCCAACACAACACCCGATACTCAACAGGCTCCCTCCGTCTCCAACACACACACACATACTCCAGATCCTACCACTACAACACGACGCGACACCCGAAATTCCAACCGCAGCCGCCCCCTTTTTTCTTGGCATCTTCCAAGAGAAAAGGGGGGTTCATGGTGGGTGCGCCGGCCTAAAAATATGTATACATATATTTATATATGTATGCATATATATGTATATATGTATATATACATATATATATATATATGTATGACATTACCTTCCATGCAACACTGGAGCCTGCGAAGGCTCATGCTCGCTTCGTTTGGGATCAGAGGGTTTTCTCGGGGCGATTGCAGCGGGCCGGGGCTTCGGTGATTGAGCGGACAGATGGTGCAGCAAGTGACCCATGCCGAGGCTTGTGGGCCTAAATCGACGTCGTGGCTTACACTAGCTAGAAAAGGACGGGGCATGATATCTAGCACCGCCATATGTGATGACAACAATTTCACAAGTGACGCGATGACTATACCTCCCAGGTGCGTAGCCGACTTATTCAAAGCAAGTATACGCAGGTGGCGAGCTAGAAAGGTTAACAGTCGCCGTCAATATGTTTGTTTGGTGGGGAGGCTATCTGGGTGCGAGCTCTTTGGCGATGCCTTGGTGGAGGTAAGGCGGCTGCTCGTGCACCTGGGATGGCAGGTGCTCTGAGAATGTTCTGGTCTGGAGGTCTCTGAACTCGCAGCGGTGCGAAGCAGGCAGGGTGCCAGATCTCTCTGGCGCGCCCCCGGCGCCCACAAGGTCCTCCTGACAATTTTGGCTTTCGGTCGCCAGGTGCATGATTGCCCCAGGTTCTACGAGGGCCCGATAGACGAGGACCTCCACTGGGGCCCCAAGCTAGACCCTGTATATCGGTATCCGCAGGGGAAAGGAGTCCCACGGATCGGGGGGAACGACCGAGGCAAGTTTGAGACGCGTGTCGGCGCGCCGTTGGCTCCCCCGTTGCTCCGGAAGGTGCCCATCAAAATGCCCGTGGTGTTCTGGGGCGACTGGGGCGCTGGTCGGGGCCCCTGGTCGACTGCGGCGTTCTCTGATGAATCGGGGGCGGCCCCCAGTTGGCCAGGGCTCAGGAGATGTGGACGGGGTCTCTGCCAGCACAGAGACAACGGCATGCCAGTTCGAGGGGCCTGGGGAGCGCTGTGAAGGTTCAATCCAGACAGCAGGACGCAAGGGCTCCCTCGAGGGCGCGAAGTTATTCGCGCTTCGCGCTTCGCGGTCCTCGTTCCTTCTCCCCCTCCTCCTCGTCCTCCTATTCTCCCTTTGGGAGGGCGGCGCGAGAGCGCGAAGTCATTCGCGCTTCGCGCTTCGGGGAGCGCGAAGCGCGAAGTTGGGAGCCCTAGAGGACGCGCGGAGCGCATGGCCCTGCTGCAGGCGCGCAGGCTGCTCCCCAAGGTGGCCATCGCGGTCGCAGATCTACTTTCGATGCCTGGCGGGGGAGTTGCCTGGCACCGCGACCAGGCAGACGGGCAAGCCACCCGTGCTGATATGTGGCGCAACTGTCTTCGCTGAAGTTGGAGGTCGGACAGCGCCAGCCTTGCGTTGGCAGGAAAAGGCCCTTGACTCCCCGCGCACCTTCGAGTTCGATCTCGGAAACGGATGGGCCGATCGGTTTGCTAAATGGGGGGCCTTGGGACATGCTGCGCCCGAAGCGCTCGTCCTGAATTATTTGGCGCCGCTGTCGCACGCCGAGCTCCAGGCCAGGTTCTTCGGGCGGGTGGTGGCGAAGATCGCATATCGCGATGATGAGAGTGACAGGCCCTCCCGCTCGCACAGACCCCCCCCCGCGGAGCCCCTAAGTTGGGCCTCGCGGCCCACGAGATGACTAGCCGAGTTTTAAATCAAGTCAAAATGATGCAATGTAAACGATGCCTGAGTATAGCGAGGGCTCCTGCTAGCTTGGCTAGGTTGCTAAGCTCCCCTTTCACTCGTCAGCAGAGTTTGATGGCGTCCAGGGACACGATTTTGATGCAGGCTCTTAGTGGAAGGACTCAGGCCGTAGTGGTGGCCCTGCTCTGGGCTGGTGAAGCATGTGGCACGACGTGCTCGGCTTCGGGGGGTCCGTTCCGGGCAAATCGTCGGCGCAGCCGTCTGGTGACCAAGGATGCCATAGTCTGCGCCCTTTGTGGCTCCTATCAGACGTCTTTTCAGGCGGCGAATTGTAAGCTGGACGACGACTGTAAAGGGCCCTCCCAGGATTCCCATGCCAGATATAGGCAGCGACATAACATCCTAGCCATGAGGTCTGGCAAGCATCGCAAGACGTGGTAGTCATTCGTTCAATTTTGTAAGCGCAGGGCCCGCAAGATATGGCCCGTGCTCCTGTTCTTCAGTTGCACGACCAGTCCTCGGCATTGTCCTCTCCCTCCCTCGTCGTCGACCTCTTCCCCCTCGCCCTCCGTATCCTCGCTTTCTCTCTTTTACTGATTTCATAGCCATGACGTCCCCCTTGATTTCATAGCCACTTCTTCTTCTTCTTCTTTCAGCCGTCGCCCAATCCCCCCCTCGCCCAATGCCCAAGCCATGAATGAAGACCCCTCTGTTGGACGCCCCCCGCTTGGACGACCCCGACATCCTACCCCCTCCACCTCCGTCTCCTCCTGCCCCTCCCTTTCCCCATCCTCTTCCCCCCTCCCGTCGTCGCCGCCGCCGCCGCCTGGACGAGGACGTGGACGAGTACGTAGACCAGGACGACGAGTGTGGCGGCAGTGGCGGCGGCTGCAGCGGCGACTGGAGGACGACGGCACCGGCGACGTCGCGTTCGTCGTTGTCGGGGTCGTAGTCTTGGTTGTCCTTGTGGTCCTCGTCGTCGCCCGTGGCCTCGACGTCGTCGTTTTGCAGGCAGCCGCCGCCCTAGTGCTGTTCGCCGTTGTCGCGATCGTCTTGTCATGGTCGTCGTCCTCGTCACCGCTTTCCTCCTCGCGATCGTCACCGCTTCAGTCCTGGTCGTCGTCCTCGTCGCGGTCTTCGGCGTCCTCGTCGTCGCCGTCGTGGTCCTCGTTGTCGGCCTCGTCGTCGTGGTCGCATCGTCCTCGCCGTCGTTGTCCTCGCCGCCCTCGTCGTGGTCGTCGTCGCCGCTGCCGCCGCCGACGGCGCCGGCGACTGCGACGGCGTGGTGTCGCCGCGCCGCGCTCCGCCAGACCGGGCGCCGGCGCCCCGGCCCCGGGGCACCTGGTGCCGCTGCCTTACCAGCAGATCGCACCCGGCGTCGGCCTGGTGGCCTCCGCCCCACCAGCGGCCCGCGCCCCCGGCGAGCACCGGCGCCGGCTGCGGTGCGGCGGCGGCGACGGCCCGGCGGCGGCGACGGTCCGGCGGCGCGGCGCCTGGCGGCGGCGGCGAGGACCTCGCGACGGCGGCCGGTGGCGACCCCGAGATCCCGGCGTCCCAAGTTTTTGGAGCCGGGCGTCGTCGCTTCCTCTCGAGCCCCGAAGGCCTCACAGATCGATGCGCCTCCAAAACTGCAGTTCGGGGCGTGGTTTTCGTTCGATGCTGGAAGTCTTTCGCTGCCTCGGATCTCAGGGCAGTGTCGGTAGGGCGCCCGACGGCTGCAGCGGGGATCTCGCGGCGGCGGCGGTCATCCGCATGATCCGCCGCCGTGCCTCTGGGTACGGAGAGGGCGTGCCCTGAGGTCGTTTGCCTACTCTTAAGTCGGGATTGTCCCTCTACAGTCTGGGGACGATGCTTTTGATGTCCTTCTTGGTATGTTTTGAACATTTCTTAGGTTTCGCCAGAATTCCGCCTGGAGGGGGACATGGTCGACCTGAGCCTAATCCCTGGAGCGTCAGTCCCAGTCCTGAGTGGTCTTGACAGGCCCGGACCCCACTTCCCGAAGTCTCTGTTGGGACTTCCCGCGGCTTGTCGCATGACTTGTTCGGTCCCACTGGGGCCAAGAGACGCGCCAAGAGGGCCCCCAAGATGGTCCAAGAGGGCCCCGAGTCGACGAACGATCGTTCCAAGACGCTCCAGGTGGCCCCAGCACGGCCAAGAGGCCTCAAGAGGCCTCCAAGAGGCTCCCCAATAGGGCCCCAAGAAGCCAAAATCATAATTTGTTCCTTATGTTTTTCAGGTTTTTGGCTTTCTCGCCTTTTCAGTTTTATTATCCCCAATAGTAAGGCGTTTTCCAAGAATTCTGACAAGCACACGCTGGCAGGTGCACGCCCGGCTTCGGCTGGCGATTCCATCCTCTCGCAAGTGGCTTTTGAGGGCCACAGGGGGCGCACAGGCTTTGACGGACCCCGTTTGTATCGTATCACAGACTGCTCCAAGTGGCTGTCTAGGGCCGCAGGGGGCAGGATGTGGGCCAATCTGTTGTTCGATTGCAATGGCAAAACTCGATCATCATCATCATCCTGCTGGCAGACACCGTCCAGGGGGAAGGGCAACGTTTGCTGGCAAACTACTGGTCGTCAGCCGAAGCTTTTCTGAGCTCACTGCAGTGGTAGCTATGACACAAGCGACACCACATGGGCGACGAGCGCACCATAGACGGTCACCGACTGCCATGCAGCGACGCTTGGAAAAGAAGCTTAAGCGCTTCTCAGCTCGTCAGGACGTGCATGAAGAGCTTCACTTTCAAGCTGAGCCTGACAGCCAGGCGGTTCAGGCTACCAGCCAGGCTGCTTAGCCAATGGGCGAGAACACAGAGGAGCTGATGCTATTCATCCTGAATATCAAGTGCGAGGTAAACACGAAGCCTGACCAACATGTGCACATGTTGGAGCTTTTCTGTTTTTAAACAAGAACTCATTTTACATGGGTTCAAGGCACAGCTCGTGAGTGATAGCAACCAAGTCATGAACGAAGTCAACAGAAGGATTGGCTCACAAGCAAGAAATTGGCGGAGATGCAGGAAACCTTCTGCACGACGCAGAACTCGTTCAACGATTGCTTCAAGGGAGTTGCAGAGGTCTGGGGTACTCGCGCGAGCAGCAGCAACAGACTGTGTAGAATCCAGGGGGCGCCGTCCTCTCCGAGACTGAGCGCCCAGACGCCGAGATCGAGGAGCAGTTCAAGTTCGCTCTCGATGCCAGGGGCGTTGCAGAGGCTGCGTCTGCAGTGGACCCAGGGGGTGCCGTATGCTACGAGGTCGGCCCAATGCCGCTTGGAAAGCACCGCAAAGTGGTTGGCCTGCCGTTGATCCAAAGGACAAGCCTCTCCTCGAGTTCCGCTACCCTGGGCCGGGATGGGTTCGTGTTCGAGAAGCGCATCATTTTCGAGAGCATACTGCTGGAGGCCATGTTCTGGGTTGCCAGCCATTTGCGATGAACACGTTGGGCCTTTAGTGCAAAGGGGAGACCGCTGGGGGAGCAGGCCGCTTGCAGCTGACAGGTTGGACGTCCTCGTTACATAGAGAGTTCGTGATCCTCTCGCCGTCCTGATAGCGCACGGAAGTACGCCAGTGAGCAGGCAGCGCTCGTCGAATCCGCTTGACAGGGGGAGTTCCGTTATCCCCGAAAGTAAAATCCGGGCGTCGGCCGGCGATTCCATCTTCCGCTCTCCTCGCTCTTGCATTATTATGATTTCCGGATTATTTGCCTTAAGTGGCCTCTTAGGGCTGCAGGGGGCGCACAGGCTTGAACGGACCAGTTTTGTATATTATTACCCCAAGTGGCTTCCTAGGGCCGCAGGGGGCAGGATGTGGGCCAATCTGTTGTTCGATTGCAATGGCAAAACTCGATCATCATCACCCTGTTGGCAGACACCGTCCAGGGGGAAGGGCAACGTTTGATGGCAAACTATTTGGTCTGCTTCCCGGCGCTCCCAAACGGCCCTAAGGGGCCCCAAGACCGACCCAAGACGACCCGAGGGGCCTCCAAGAGGGCCGCAAAACGATTCAAAAAGGCCCCCAGACGGCTCACGAGGCGCACAAGATGGCCCAAAAGGGCCCCAAGGCGGCCCAAAAGGGACCCAAGAGAGGGAACACGACCCGACAATCCGAGCCTTCCGCCCCAAGAAGCCCCCAGCAGGCCCCGAACGGCGCCCAAGAGGCCCCAAGAGGCCCCGAAGAAGCCCCCGAGATGTCCAAACATGCTTCAAGAAACCCCCAAGAGGCCCCGAAACGGCCCCCGAGCGGCGTCCAGACTGCCTCCAATAGGTTTCCACGGAGCCTTCCGTAGCCATTTTGGCTCAATACCTTTGGACTCAAGCAGTTTGAAGTGCAAGCGCCACGTGCATACCAGAAAAGGACAAATTTCTCGTGTGCCCGGACATGGCGCTCCGCCTCGCCACTCTGTTGCCCGCGCTGGTGTTGGCAAGTGAATCGGGGGGCGCCTGTCTGGCAGGAGAAGGCGCGGTTTGCCTTGGATGAGCAGGACGAGACAGGGCTGCTGCAGAACAGTGCCAAGATGACAGCCGTCGCACAGCAGACGCACTTCGAGGGAAAGCAGTTCCGCCGTCAGCCACAGCATGGCCCCCCGCCTGGCACGACTATACCACGAACGCCCACATCATATTCGACGAGGGTTCAAAGCGACTGAACTTCAGTCTTCAGGCCGGGCTTCCCTGCCTTGCGTCCATCACGGCGGTTTACGGTGACAGATAATGTTTGGGGGATAACTTCAGTGACAAGTGCGAAGCATGCGTGTGCGCCACCTTTGACGCGCAATTGTGGTGCAACCGCGACCAGGGTTTGTTGTCAGGTTGCAACCGCGACGGTCAGTGTGGTACGAGCAGCGGGCGCTTCCAACAATTGCCCTTTCGTTCACCATGCGCGGAGGACCTTCAGTGCGCTAGGGGCGCTGCCGGTTGCATAAATGGACGCTGCCGCTTGCCTGCGCAGATAGTCATTGTAATGGTATCGCGAAATCGTCAAGCATCATTCGTCGCTCCCTCTCTTGCAATTCTGGTCCCCGCAGCGCGGTTCCGAGGCTTCCTCCCCCCTCCTTCTCGACCAGCGTCGCCCCCACGATGCAGCCAGTTTGTAGCTTAATGGCGCCAGCAGAGTCTCCGAACGTATGCGTGCCGGCGCCGGTTGGCCTCGGCCTGCTGGCGTCTCGGGGCCACGGGCCTCTCGAGCAGAGTGCGAAGTCGCCCTCCTGTTTTTCGAATGTGCGACACGCGCTGGCCATTCCTCGGATGGCCAGCGCGCGGGGGCCTCAGGTATCTCGAGAAAGGTGCGAAGTCGCTTTCCTCTCGCTTCTGCCCCCTCTCTGGGGTAGTTGGTCTCTCGCGACGGGTGCGAGCGCGCCTGCGTCTCTACAACGCATGGGGCGTTATTAAAACGTCTCCAGGAGGCCCCCCACGAGATCCCAGCGAACATCTAATATGCATCATATTCAGAAGCCACGCGCGATGGCTGGATGGGCCGAAGGCCATCAACCCATCCACTTGGGCCGTGGCATCTCAGCCCAACCGTCAACCCCCAGTTGGGGGCGGGTCCCGAACTCGAGGGGGCAGGCCTACGTCCCCATCTTGGGGGGTAGATCGGCGAGTGGGGCCAGGGCAATGCCAGTGGGGATGGGGGTCGGTTCAACGAGGCTGAGGCCCCGAAGGTAGAGGAGGTGTTTTGGCGTGCCTGCCAGTCGTTGGCCTCCAGGGGGCCTCGTGATTGGAGCCAGTCACGGGGCCTGAGGGTTGAGAGGTGGCCCAGCGCCTCGGCTGGCAGAGCGGGGGGCGCCGGGGGGGCCCTCGTCGCCACGGGTCGACGCGGCCCGGAACATCGGTACATTGTTATTGCAGGGGTGGTCCGGGGACCGATTTTGACCAAATTTGCAGTCGGTCCCGCCTCTTGGCCGAGCTTTTCATGGCCATCCAGCGCAGGCCTTCTAGCCGCATTTAACCTCGGGAGGCCTCCAGACAAGAGGAGGGCGATAAGGAGGAGGAGGAGGAGGAGGAGGAGGAGGAGGAGGAAGAGGAGGAGGAGGAGGAGGAGGAGGAGGAAGAGGGGGAGGAGGACGACGACTTCGACGACGACGACGACGAAGACGACGACGACGATGACGACGACGGCGCAACTTCGGTGAACGAGGGCGGACGGCGACGGCGGCGGTGACGGCATCATCCCGTCATCCGAAATCGCAAGCGATGGCTCCAGGAGGGGTTGGAGGAAGGGAGGAGGATGTGAAAGAGGCGAATAACCGGGTGCAGGAGAAGAAGGGAAATATGAAGAGGAGTTGGAGGAGGGAGGGGCAAAACGACCTCGTCCATCTCCTTCCTGCAGGTTGAGGAACAGGAGAAGGAAAATGATGAGGGGCATTTCGGTTACGCGTAACCCACCGCGGCCCCGATCGGCGGCTTCACCCCTCTCGGCCGCTGGAAGTAGCCGAGCCCCCCCGTTCCCGCGGCGCCGAGTAAGTAATGTGGGTGCCATGCATGAGGGGGTGACAGAAACTGCACTTTTTGTGCCCTGTACAGGGCCCCGCGGGGCGCGAAACGTGCACGCTTCCCCACTCCGATGTATCGCCCCCGTTAATGAACGCCCAACGCCCCTCCGGTGCCGGGTGGCCGCCCTGCAGCCTCCAAGCCGCACCCAACCTCGGGAAGCCTCCAGAAACGGCGCCGAAGAGGATGGCGATGACGAGGAGCAGGGGGAAGAGGAGGAGGAGGAGGAGGAGGAGGAAGAGGAGGAGGAGGAGGAGGAGGCGGAGGAGGAGGAGGAGGGGGAGGAGAAGGAGGAGGAGGAGGAGCAGGAGGAGGAGGAGGAGGAGGAGGAGGAGGAGGAGGAGGGGGAGGAGGAGGAGGAAAATGATGAGAACGAGGAGGACGAGGAACGACGACGACGACAACGACGACGCCCCTCCCGTGCTAGGTGGCTTCCCTGCACTACCATACCCCTGGCGTCGGGCCGCAAGGCGCGGGCCAGGCCGCCGGGCCGTGCGGAGGCACGGCGGCTCGCGGCGGCCCAGCGGCGGCGGCAGCGGCGGTGGCGGCGAAAACGGCGAGTGCGGCGAAGGTGGCGGCGGCCGCGGTGAGGGCGGCGGCGGCGGCGGCAGCGATGGCGGGGGCGAAAGCGGCGAAGGCTGCGGCGGCGGCGGCGGTGGCGGAGGCGGCCCGATCGAGGGCTGTTGGAGGCAGGATTGCATCAGGAGGAGGAGGAGGAGGAGGGGGAGGAGGAGGAGGAGGAGGAGGAGGAGGAGGAGGAGGAGCAAGAGCAGGAGCAGGAGCAGGAGCAGGAGCAGGAGCGGGAGCGGGAGGACGAGGACGAGCACGAGGACGAGGAGGAGGAGGAGGAGGAGGAGGACGAGGAGGAACGAGGAGGAAGATGCCAAAGAGGAAGGGCAGGAGGAGGAGGAGGAGGAGGAGGAGGACGAGGAGGAGGAAGAGCTGTGAGCTGTGAGCTGTGCGCTGTGCGCTGTGCGCTGTGAGCTGGGATGAGGAGGAGGCCCTTTTTCTCTCCGTTTGCCCTGGCTTGGGTTCTGCGGGATCTGACGATTCCGTCAGGGGGACACCCGCTTTCTGCCCGAAGGGTAATACCCCCTTGGTCTCGGTGATGCCGACGGTGACCCCTACGACTACCACTGATCACGACCACGACCATGGCTACGACCGCCACGAAGAACACAACGAACACCAGGACCGACACCACGACCACCACGATCCCCACGGCGACCGCGACGTCGCCGTTGTCCTCGGCCGCGTCGCCACAGCCGCCGTAGCTGCCGCCGCCGCCGCAGCACTCGTCGTCCTCGCCGCCGCAGCGGCCGAGCTCGCCAGCCTGGCCCCCACCCTCGCCGCCGCGGCCGCCTTCGCCCTCGAGGCCTGGGCCCCGCGGGGCCCGGAGGCTACGCGGGCTGGGGCGTCGCCGCCGGTGGAGGCCCGGGGCCACGTCGCCGCCGCCTTCGGGGCCGCTGCCGTCGGCGTGGTCATCGGCGTCGTCGTCGTCGTCGACGTCGTCGCTACCCTTTCGTCTCTCGGAGGCTGCTGAGGCCTCGAGGGGGCTGCTCTGCAGGCGTTGGTGCCCTCCCCACAGGTCCTGGGGTCACCTTGGGCCAGGGACACTTCCAGCAACACCCGATTGTCGTCGCCGTCGTCGTCTTCGTCGCCGGCGTTGCTGCTGCCGCTGTGTCGTCGTCGTTGTCTTCGCCGTTTCGGAGGTTTTGGGTGGATCTGCGGGCCCTCGTCGGCGCGTCTAAAAATGCAGCTAGAAAAGCTGGCCAGGACGGTCCCTGGGAGGGGACAGAGGATTGGTTGTGAGAGGATGCTGGCAGTCGTCGTCGTCGGCAGCGGCGGCGTCGTCGTCCTTAACCGCATCCAGCAATTAACCCCCCCCTCCGGCGAAAGTATAACGCACCCGCCACCCCAGAAGCGCTATCCTGGCACCTCGCACCTTTCTGTGAACGCAGACGAGTCTGCTCGCCGAAACGAGCAAACCGCCTGAGACATTCTCGCAATGTGGTCTCCCTGTGGTTCTGAAACAAGCACCTCGCCTGAGACATCCTCAGAAACTGCTCTTGACGCACACGAGTCTGCGTCAGGTGGTCGGCCTGGGCGAGAACTGGAGTGGCCGCGCGTCTTCAGCGCTCGGCCTTCCGAGCAGGGGCGCCCCAGCAAGGGAGAGCCCAGCTTTGAAAAGGAACCGTCCGTGCCTACGATGGGGGGCGAATCATTCTGGCGGTCCGGGTGCTAAGGTAACGCGCCCTGCGTGGCGGGGGCGATATCGTCGCATGCACTACCCCACACGACGGCCCGGAAAAGCCAATTTTTCAATAGGAGTGGTAAGATGAATCGTAAATGACAAGGATGATGAAGAAACTGAGAAAAGGGAGGGAGGGAGGAGAGAAGCAGGGGAGCCCGTCTGTTTTCTGAACTTTATTATAATTATTATCCTTACTCTTCTTCGTATTCTTAGTATTAGTGTTAGTCTTATTATGATGTGTTTTAGTATTATTGTTATTCGTCTTAGTGTAGTTCTTGTCTTTTTGGACAAGCTGTCGTAATTATGTTGTGCGTGTGCGGTGCTAAGATAACGCGCCGTGCGTGGCGGGGGCGATATCCTCGGATGCACTACCCCACACGACGGCCGGGAAAAAACAAATCTTCAACAGGAGCGGTAATACAAGTCGTATAGGACAAGCATAATGAGGATAATGAGAAGAAGGCGATTCTTATGCTTATCATTATCATTATTATTTGTTATGATTGTTGTTATTTATATTCGGATTATGCTTATTGTTACTATTATTATGATATGAATCGTAACATTATTATTGTTGTTATTACTCTTATTATTTGTCTTAGTGTTGTTATTATTATCCCTATTCGTATTATTACTCGCATTTCTCTCTTATGCTGATTATTATTCTAATTCCAAGTGGATGCCACCCGAGCCGGGGCGCGGAATCATTTGTTTTCGTTCCATGTGCGCGGTGCTATTGCAGTGTTCCACACGAGTTTGTATTGCAGCTCATCTGTAAAGCCGTCCACCGTATGTGGCTACCTCTGCTCAAGCCTTTTTCGACGCGAGCCCCGGGCGGCCCGCGACGAGCAGGACTGGTGCATGGTCGTCGGCCAGATCGCCCAGGCAGCGATCCTCGGGGCGGCGAACATCGGCGGAGCCTGGCTGGGTCGCTGCCCCCCTTGCCCGCAGGCGCCGGGGTGCCCGGCGCCTGCACTGAGCTGCCCACCGGTCTCGCTCACCTGCCCGGCGCCCCCGGCGCCGCCGGCGCTGACTTGCCCGCAGGTGACCTGCGCGGCTCCCGCGTGCCCGCCGTGTGAGGCGCCGGCACGCGAGGAGGTGGCGCCGTGCCCCTCGCCGGCCCGCGAGGACGCGGGCGCCGACGGCCGCCTGGCCGCTTGCCTGCCGCTGAAGGCCGTGGTGCTGATCGGCGCGGTGGCCTGGGCCTGCGGGGCTGGCTCGGTCGCCTGCCTTGTTCAAGGGTGCGCTCGTCGAGGACAGCATGTTGGCCGTGGTGTCATCGTCCGACCTAGTGCCGGGGGACGTGATTCTAGTCCGCTACGCCGCGGACGATCTCTGGCATGAGCGAGTGCTGAGCTGGGCGCTGCCCGTCGACAAGAGTGGGGCTGTGCATTGGGTGGTGGCAACACCCGACGGAGACATGTATGTGGAGACGATCGAGGGGGGAAGCGCCGACGATAGCCCGGTGGAGTGGATCCGCCCGGCGGCCGACGGACGCCTCCCTGTTGGCTTCCAGGACGCCGTGTACTCCTTCCAGCGAGGCGAGATCGACGGGGCCCTCTTAGAGAAGTGCGTGAAGAAGGGTGCCACCATGGCGTTGATGGACGCTCGGGAGCATGGCGTGACCCCTGTCACCATGACCGTGGCCCGGGCCCCGGGCGGCCGCAGGGTGCCGATCGAGGAGGTCGTAGGCGCGGGGTTCGTGCAGCCGGCGCTCCGAGACGGTGCGCCTGACGGCGCGGACGCGGGAGGAGCCATGGTGGCAGGGACTGCTACGCCGAGGACCGGCGTGTGGCGCGTGGTAGAGGAAGGCAACTCGTTGGGCTACGACGTGGGCCGTGAGGTGAAGCCCGTGACGGTGTACATCGGATGCAAGGGCGTCTACTCGCCCGACGGCAAGGACTCAGTGTTCGTGGAGTTCAGTGACGAGGACGAGGGCGATTTTGTCAAGAGGGTGGCCCCGCGACCCCCGCCCAAGGAGTCCTCGGCGCAGGATGCGCGCACGCTGGCCATCAAGTTCAACCCGCAGGGCCGCATGCGAGACTGGCGTGATGTGGTGGATAGCTGTCAACAAGAGGAGTTCGAGGATTTCCCTGTGAGCGGGCCCCGCAGCATGAGCTGGTGCTTACACTTCTTACGTCGTCGGCACACCCCCTTGGACCATCATCTGATGTTCCGCAGCACGTGCTCGCTGAAGCCTGAGCAGTGGGGGGTGGCCGAGCACGAGACCTTGCTTCGCATCATCGAGCTTGCGGGGCAGTGTGACCAATTGGATGTGACGAACCTGGCGTGCATGGAGGCGGCGGCGCGCAGGGTGCAGACCATCGAGTGGGCCTACCATGATAAGATCAGGGAGACGGACGCAGGGTCCACCTCGCGGCTATCCATCGAGGAGGCCACGGCTTTCTCAGGCCTCAGCCGTGCGGGGGACTTGATGATGGTGCTGCCCGCTCTCCTAGAGCACGTGAAGTTGCAAGTGGAGAAGGACGCAGCCATCATGAAGAACATCAGGAAGGCCAAGGAGGAGAGGGAGCTGAGGAGGAAGGACAACAACAAGGGCAACAACAAGGAGAAGGGGTGAAAGCCCCCGGGGAGGAGGGGTGCCAGCATTGCCCTCCTGCCCCGACACTACCTCCTGGCTTGCAGTGCATCGTACCTGATGAAGGCGTAATTCATAGTCACCCTCCTGGGCTTGGGCCTCCCGGTTCGGATAAGCCAGCTCGGCCGCTGCGCTCGGACGGCCCACGCCACCGTGACATTTTTCCTCTTCCTGATCTTGCTTGGAGTACTGCTGACATCGACGCTTCCGTCTACTCAGCGGCTAGAGGCGACGACCGACTTCGGGTTCCATGTCGGCGCGTGAGGCGTCGCATCCTGAGGCGCCAGGCCGTCGCCAGCCTAGCCAACCAAGCGATCTACACTCTCAACGACTTGGCGGGCAGCGAGCGGGGGTCTTCCGTCTCGCAGCCTGGCGAGGGGCGGGCCCCGCACGGGGCTGTGCAGCGACGTGTATATGCGGCCGCCGCGGCGATGGGCCCGCCACCAGCTCTCTCGCCCTCGGGAGCCCTGCAGGAGCTCCGGGGGTGCACGGTGTACGAGGACGTGCAGTCCACCGTGGTGCCCTACGACGATATGAAGGCCTCCCTGCCGATGAGCGGTAATCGTCCCGTTCCCCTGGCAGAACTTTTTGGGGCCGGTGGTCAAGCTGAAGTCGACGGGTTTCTTGACTCTCATCTTCTCAAATCAGAAGCAGCCTCCCACAACCTCAAGGGGGCCCCTCGGGAGACGTACATGGACGAGGTGCTTCGGAACTCTCCGCGCGCATACCAGCGGCTGGTCAAGAGGCTCGAGAGGGCCGGGATGATTGACTACACCGTCCAGCCGCAGGAGTTTTGTTCGCTCTTTTTCGTGAGAAAGAAAAATGGTAGCCAGCGGTTGGTCGTCGACTGCCGTCGCTCCAATTGTTGGTTCTCGGCCGCGGACCCCGTCCAGCTCAGCACGGGCGCCGGCCTCGGGAACCTAGAGGTGCCGGACGGGGCGCGGCTGTACGTGGGCCACGTGGATATCAAGGATGCCTTCTACCACTTCGAGCTGCCGGAGCGCGTGCGCAACTTGTTCGCGCTGCCGGCGGTGCCGGCCTGGGTGGCTGGCCTTGCTGAGGTGGGCGGCGTGAGAGTGAGCCCGGGTACTTCGGTGTACCCGCGGCTTCGAGTGCTTCCCATGGGATGGTCGCACGCACTGTGGGTTTGCCAGACTCTGCACCGCCGTATCATCCAGGATATCCCGGGCCTCGAGCCACCTCGTTTCTGCACGACCGAGGGCCAGCGCCTGCGACCACCCCTGCGTGCCACACTGTCTACGTTGATAATTTTTTGGCGCTGGGTACCTGCCGATCGACGGTCGAGCGGCTGGTGCGTCAGGTCGATGAAGCTCTGCAGTCCCGGGGCCTTCCACACGCGAGGTAGCCACGAGCTCACTGGAGGAGGAGGTTCTTGGGTGGGAGATCAACGGAAGACTGGGCTTCATTCGACCTCGACCAGAACGTGCGTGGCGCATGCGTTTAGCGCTGGACGGCTTGCTAGAAACGCAGAAGGTGTCCGCCCGCGACATCGAGAAAGTGGTGGGACACTGCACCTTCTTAGCCCTCCTCTCTCGGACCTCGCTCTCCATCTTCCGGTCCGTCTACACCTTCATCGCTCGTCATCGTGATCACGGTACCGTGCCGCTCTGGGAGTCTGTTCGCTGGGAGCTCGAGGCCTTCAGGAACGTCATTCCCTTGATTCGTCGTGATTTTGGGGCTCCGTGGAGTTCGAAGGTTATGGCATCGGACGCTTCTTTCTGGGGCTACGGCGTCGTCTCACGGGACCTCCCTCCGGACAAAGTTCAACAACTAGGGCGTGTCAGTGAACGATGGCGGTTCTCGGGTAAGGCTCAGGTCAGATCTCGTGAAGGGGTTCTGGGGCCCGACGGGGAGCTCGACATCGGCGACTGGGTGAAGAAGGTGGAGGAGGACAGTCAGGAGAGGGAGGACGCCCTTTCGGATCTGCCGGAGGTCTTGAAGGAGAGGGGGTGGGCGGTGCTGATGAGCAAGAAATGGGGGGTGCCCATCTCCAACATCGTTCAGGGAGAGGCTCGGGGCCTCACTGCTGCTGTAAAACATGTGCCGATCTATGAAGAATTTTGGACGTCGCCACCTTCTCATGTTGGATTCCCTTACATGCGTGCTGGCTCTGTGCAAAGGACGCTCATCCGCCGTCGGCGTCTGCGCCGCTCTCCGATCCGCGGCCGCCCATGGCCTTGCCACGGGCGCGGTCTTCTCGGGCCGCTGGTTCCCCAGCGAGTGGAACCGTGCTGACGGGCCGTCGCGGGGGCTTGGACACGCTGGATACGGAGGGGCCTCTGCTGGCAAGGTCGACGCCCAGAGCGACCACCGCGCCGCGGGGGACAGCTGTGGCGCCGCGAGTGGGCCCGAGGCCGCCCGCGCTGACCTACCCAGTGCGGGGCTGCCCAGTGCTGGGTCGGCGACGGCCGAGGGCGTCCTCGCCGCCGAGCGTGGCGACGGCAGGCTCGTCGCCGGGCGCGCCGCCCTGGCGCCCGTTGGGCCTTGCGAGGACATGCCCGCGGCTGCTGCGCAGCGCTGCCACCCAGCTGAAGGCAGCGCGGCGAGCGCTGCGGCTGCCGATAGCAGGACGACAGCGCTATCTGCAGGCTCGGTCCGTCCGGACCGAAGCAGTGCGCCTGCGCTACTCGGAGTTCTTAGAGGAGCTGGACCAGTGGCTCGGGCCCAGCGGCCTGAGTCGCAGGCCGTGCCCGAGCGGCCGCCTGGGTGCTGGGACCGTGGGCCAGTTCGACCAGGACCTGAGCGACTGGATGAACGAGCAGTACATGGAGGGCTACGACCACTGGCGCGGGTCGAACATGATGGCGGCGATCGCCTGGGCAGACCCTCGCCTGGGCCGCGTGGGGGGGCACGGGCTTCCCCTTTCGCGGCAGGCGCTGAAGGGCTGGCGACTCCTGACGCCCGCCTCCAGCCGCCTGCCGCTGCCGTCCGAGGTGGTGTTTGCCATCGCGATGGAGCTGCTGGTGATGGACCGCTGGAGCATGGCCGTGTGCACCATGCTGTCCCTCGTTTTCCTCATGAGGCCCGGCGACTGGAGGACAGTGCGCGTCGAGCACCTGACGCCGCCTGCGGTGGGCGGCAGTCGCGGGCTTGCCCGCTGGAGCCTGGTGCTGCACCCGTTGGAGAACGAGGGCAGCCTGCCAAGCAAGACGGGGGAGTTCGACGAGTCGCTGCTGCTGGACCTAGAGGAGGACCAGTGGCTGGCGCCGCTCTGCCAGCGTCTCGTGCTCGGCCGCGACCCGCAGGAGCCCCTGTTCGCCTTCAGCCAGGCCGAGTTCGCGCGGTGCTTCAAGACGGCCGGCGCAAAGCTGCTGCTGCAGCGCCCTCCGCCGCCCTACATCCTGCGGCACTCGGGCGCCAGCCGCGACTTCGCCGAGCAGCGCAGGACGCTGGTCGGGGTGAAGCGCCGGGGAAGGTGGCGCACAGACGCGAGCGTCAGGCGCTACGAGAAGGGGGGCAGACTGGGCAGCGAGTTCGCCAAGCTGCCGCTCTGCCTCCAGAACCATGCACGCTGGTGCCTCAGGTACCTCCCCGCGGCGCTCTCCGGATCGCTGCAGCCACGCGGGTTCCGCGCCCCCTGAGGATGCGAGTCTTCTTGGAGGTGTTCGCTGGCACTGCTCGGCTTGGCCGAGCGATGGCGGCGCAGGGTTTTCACGTGTTGGCTTGGGGCGTGAAGTATGGCGATCAGTTCGATCTCACCTCGCCTTCGAAGCGTTCACTGATTCGCGGGTGGATTCTTGGTCGTGCTATACTGCATGTGCATTTCGGCGCCCCTTGCTCGTCGTGGCCCCGAGCGCGGGACATCCCACCAGGCCCGCCGCCGCTGAGGTCCAACGATCTCGCCCCGGGGCTCAAGGACCTGTCTGCAGCTGACCAGGCCAAAGTCGATCTCGGGAACACCCTCATGTCCTTCACCGTATCGTGTTTACATGTTTGTCGGAGGATGAGAATTTCGGGCACAATGGAGAACCCCGCCACCAGTAGGATTCGGCTTGCGCCTGCCGTCGTCTCCCTCGCTCGTAATTCTTCCTCTCAGGTTGTTTCAACCGACTTTTGCCAATTCGGGGCGCCCTGGCGTAAAAGAACAAAGTTTTTGGGCGTCCTGATTGATTTAACCTCGATAGAAAGACTGTGTAAAAGAAAGAATAATCTGTGCTCGGCCTCTCATAGGCCTCACCAGAACCTCCAGGGTAAAAACTCGGAGGGTCGGTTTTGGACAGAAGTGGCTGAACCATGCCCTCCTCGGCTCTGTCGGGCGTTAGCGCTGGCCTTCTCTGATGCTCTCGTCGCGCTCAAGGCGCAAGGTATGGCCAGTCACCTCTGGTAGGTTAGTAGGTTTGAAGTTTTTGTTTTCGTGCGGCCCTCCAGGCCAGTGGACAAGTAAAGTTGGCTCCCTTTCTGTCAGTGCGGATCTGGTGGCCAGCGCCCACCCCCTTTTGTTTATGTTTGTCGGCGCTGGCTGTTTCTCAGGTCCTGGCGGAAGTTGAGCCTCTCAGATAAAAAATTGCCCCTGGTCTCGGGGGGGTGGAATACATTGCAGTGTTCCGCGCGAGTTTGTATTGCAGCTCATCTGTAAAGCCGTCCACCGTATGTGGCTACCTCTGCTCAAGCCTCCCACCCGCGTACCACCCTGCTCTCACTGTGCTGCTCCCTAATGATCTGGTGGCCAGCGCCCACCCCCTTTTGTTTATGTTTGTCGGCGCTGGCTGTTTCTCAGGTCCTGGCGGAAGTTGAGCCTCTCAGATAAAAAATTGTCCCTGGTCTCGGGGGGGTGGAATACAAAAATGTATGCTTTCCGAGGGGACTGAGGCGATTTTTGCTTGTTGGGGCCTTCGTGGAGAGTCTCTTGGGGCTCTTTTGAGGCCTCTTGAAGCGTCTTGGCGGCCTTGGGCAGTCGTGGGGCCATCTTGGGCATCGTCGGCCGATCTTTCGAGGACTCCAAGGGCTCTTGGACCGTTTGGGCGCTCTCTTGAGGCCGTCTTGGGCGCCTCTTGGGCTGTCCGGGGGGCCTCTGGCATCTCTGACGGGCATTCGCGGGGGCCTTGCCGGGGACTTGCCCGGACCTTGGCGGGGTATTTGTCGCGTCGGGGCCCCCAGGGGCCGCCTCGCGCGCGAATTTGTTACATTGTTAACTTGTTACCGGAGATCTTAGCACGCCTCTGGCCCGTTGGGCCGGCGAGTTTACAATGACAAATGGGAGGATGAGGAGGCGGAGGAGGAGGAGAAGGAGGGGCAGGAGGAGGAGGGGGAGGAGGAGGAGGAGGAGGAGGAGGAGGAGGATCAGGAGCAGCAGGAGTAGGAGGACCAGTGCAAATTCTTGACGCTTCGCGTATCCCCACCAGCATAACAGATACACGTGCGACAGGTGCGGAAAGGACCATCTGACTTCCGCCGAGGGTACCTGGATCTCCGACAGCACGCGCCAGATGGTCGCTCAGAATAGACCTCAGGCATACATCAACGGTGCCAACATGGGGTGGCATTGCGCTGTCTGCTGGATACGCCACCTCGAGGACAGTGGCCTCCCTACGCCTGCCGGAACGAAGCTCGCCGACAGAGTCAGGGAACATGAGCAGCATATGTTGGGGACCAGCAGCGACAGAGCGAGCGCCCTCCCTTCCCTGGGGCACCTTCCGCTTGGCTACGGCTGCACCCCCCTGGCGGACGCGAGGAGGTTAGCTGATCTCTTCATGGAGCCGACGGGCGCGAAGATTCCTGAGTGCGCCAATGCCACCATTCCGATCCTCCGTATCCGGGACGAGCGGTTCGGCATCAAAGCCGCCCAGACGCAGACCTACTCTGCGCGGTGCGACACCTGCCCCCATGGGGCCCCGCTCCTTGTCTGGAACCCCGGCTCTCCGCCTCTGGGTTGCTTCATTTGGAGGCCGGCGGAAGGTATAGGCGTTCCCGAGCAAGATGGGTTGCCCCCCATCGACAAGCGTGCCCTGGCCTGGTGGGGACGCCAATGGAACACTACATGGCGCTGCCGGCGCTGCCTGGTCCCGATCTGGAACATAGGCCCGGCCACCTTGGATCACATCCTGGATCGCGACTTCAGATCGCTGTATCCAGAAGAACCTCCTGCCCTTCCCCCGCTCAGCAGCCAGATTGGGTTCGAGGCGCCTGTGGACATCGTGGATTCTCTCCCTTGGCTTGGCGTGGACGCCAAGGCCCAGGACCAATTCACCAAAGTCGGAGCAAGCAATCCCCCTGGACCCAGCGCCACAGGCAGCTCTGGTGCAGCGTCAGAGCCAACACCCATCACCTCCTTGGCAGAGTCCCCACCAACTGGCGTGTTGGCTGTGAGCGACGACAGGCCAGACACTCCCATGGCTGCCGACGCAGACAGGTCTCAGGGCACGGTGGACAACGACTCGCGTATGGGCCACCATGACCCGCCCGACAACGACAACGGCGAAGGCGCGGAAGACGGGCTCCCTCTTAACAAGATGGAGCCCGACTACGGAGAAGATGAACCCGCTCGCCCTCCCACGTGCTCAGAGTCGGCCCAGGAAGATGATGGCAATCGCTCGGGCGGCGATGCGCCACAGCGAAGCCCGTCGGCGGACAGCTCTGACACCAGCCGCGAGGATGCCGCGACATCAGCTGCAGAGGAAACGCCCTACGCCGACCGCAGAAGAGGTCCAGCCCGAGACCCCGCGAGGTACGAGAGGGCCAGCGACGGTGGTGGCTCGCGGTGCGAGCGCTCTCCTGCGCCCACCCCGATGCCCCCTGGACAGAGGCCCTATCACTTTCGCCATATTGGTTCATCGGAACAGGACGCACTCAACCTGTTGTCCTGCCCTGATGGAGGCGGCCCAATGTACAAAGTCAGGCTGGGCACTGTCGAACTCGAACGTCCCGACGAGACACCAGCCAGACGCATGTCCAGGCATCAGTCGGAGCTGGGGGCAGTCTTTTGCGCGCTGTGGACAGCGAACACGCAGCGTACCCTGCTCCCTGGATGGAGGGCGCCCAAATCCGACCCGAAACTACACGCGCCCTCGGATATCAACAATGTCCTAGAGGCCTGGGAGGACTGCGGGTATGACGCCTACGAGATGAACACGAGGCTGGGCTATGATATCGACTGGGATAGGATACGAGCCAACTACCTGCGTCACTGCCAGACAGACGACAGGGGCAAAGGCGGCTATCACCACACGGGCTGGCGCGACCGCGCGACAAGTTCCTGGGGCACCTGGGGCAGTTGGCAGGGCGAGTGGCGCGATGGATGGCGTGAAGATCACTGGCAGACGGGTGGCAAACGCGGCGGAGGTTGCCCTGATGATCGGGGCGATCGAGATGAAAAGAGACTCCGCTGGAGAGACTGAGCTGCCTCTCTGCCCTCTCCGCGCCCCCAGTGCCCGCGCCGCCGCCTACTCCCTGCGACACGCTACCGCGGCCCTCCGCCGCTCTCTCCTTCAACCTGGGGCAGCGCCACCGCCCCTCCCCGGGCCCTCGCTCTCGCTCACCCTTGGGCCTTGGGGTGCCGTTCAGTAATGCCATCTGCTCTCTGCGTGGCACCGCGCATCCTGCAGACCAACTAGCCGCTGGCATCGCTGCCTTTCTCCTCCGGTGGCCGCAGCCCTCTCGCCGCAAGGCTCCCCCGTTCCTCGCCGTCGGTTTCACTTCCTGAATTCTAGCTGGCGCTGCCCTAGGCCGCGCCGTGGGCCCCCTAATCGCGGCGCTCTGCCGCCCTCCACCCCATGCGCGCACCTCCTGCCTTTGGATCCAGGTGCGCGCTTCGGCAATGCCGTCCACAGCCGCTCCGCAGTGGACTCGCGGCCTCTGGCCTTACTGTAGATGTCTCACCGCCAGGCGTTCCTGGCCTGTCAGTGGGCCGCGGCTCGCCTGTCCACTGGCTTTCTCCTTGGATTTTCTAACCGACTGAACGGCCTTCCGCCGTGACCCTGGATCTCTTTAAAAAGCTGCACGGCCTTCCGCCGTCACCCTGGATCCAAGTGGCTCTGAGGGATGCGTCTTGGGTATATGGCGGTCTCGTCCCTCGGGTGCTATCCGACTCGGTCTGGGTCGCGCTGAGACACCTTGGATGTGCACACGCCACGTGGTCGACCGTGTATCGTGCACTACGACGCCCTTCCACTCGATGGATCTGGGCTGACGCATCTCAGTTGTGGAAGGTTCTCCTGTCATCATGCTCCACACCCTGGATGCGCGTTCTTGCGTCGCGACTCGGATTCGCCGTCAGATTTTTCCGCTGGACTTATGTCCCCAGTCAGTCTGTGTTACCCGTGAGACTCCCTGGGTCGATGTCCTCGGGAACTCTTAAATGCTGAACGGCCTTTCGCCGTGACCCTGGATCGAAGTGGCTCTGAGGGATGCGTCTTGGGTATACGAATGTCTCGTCCCTCGGGTGCTATCCGACTCTTTCTGGGTAACACTGAAACACTTTGGACGTGCACGCGCCACGTTGTCGACCATGTATCGTGCACTACGGCGCCCTTCCACTCGTTGGATCTGGGCTGTCGCATCTCAGTTGTGGAAGGTTCTCCTGTCAGCATGCTCCACACCCTGGATGCGTGTTCTGGCGTCGCGACTTGGTGTCGCCGTCAGGAGTTCCGCTGGACTCATGTCCCCAGTCAGTCTGTACTACCTGTCAGGCTTCCTGGGTCGATGTCCTCGGGCACGTTCTTTTCTGTTCGCTTTGGACTTTTGGGAACGCCTCACGCGCCATTTTGGCTGCGCTTGGTCTCCTCGGTGCCTGTCCTCAGGCTCGTTGGATGCACCGTCGCATGCCCGTCCAGGGGCTGTCTCAGACTCCCTGGATTGCACGTCGGCTCTGCCGCCCTGGGCGCTGCCGCCCCCCGCCGCCTGATCCGCGGCCCCGCGCGCGTTAGGCAATGTAGTCGCGGCCGTAGCCCGCCCGCGACCTCCCGCCGCTGGCGCTTCCGCCTGCGGCTGTAAAAAAATATCCCCACCAGCCCATCCTACACCAGGCACTCGAACGAAGAGCGCCGATGATCGGCAGCTGTTCTCCTCCCCCTCATCCTCCTTCTCCTCCGCCTTCTCCTCCTCCCTTCCTCCTCCTCCTCCTCCTTCTCCTCCTCCTCCTCCTCCTCCTCCTCCTCCTCCGCCTCTTCCTCTTCCCTGGTGGCGTCTTGGAAGTATCTTCGAACGTTTTGGTGGGCTCTTGGGCCTCGCGGGCGGGCGGGCGGCGTTCCGCCCGCCCGCGCGCAGGGCGCAAGAGGAGAGTCCGAGACGTCTTTTGAGGCCCTCTTGGAGGACATCGATCGCAAAAGGGGGAAGCATTTTTTAGCGTCGCCCCCCTGGGGGGCACGATCCTCGTGAGGGGTGTCGAATTTTAGCCCTCCCAGGGGTCGTTCTTGGACGCTCTAACTACCCGCGGCCCCCCCTGTCCAGGTCAGCGGGGAGGGGGTAGGGGGAGGGGTTAACCCCTCCCCGAAGGGGAAGAAGGAGGGGTGGAAGAGGAAATGCTCTAAACCACCGACGCCCAGAGGGCTGGTGGGATTCAAGACTCAGCACCAATGTCGGAATACACCCTTCCTTCAAGCTTCCTCTTTATCGGCCCTACGGGGTTTATTTCCACTGAGGGAAGGGCTCCGTTGGGGGACAACCGTTGGAAGATTCTCAAGCGTGCCAAAACTCGCAAGTGCAGCGCCACGAATCAACTTGACCGTTGCATCTAAACGGCCCCGCCCCCGTCCGCGGCTGCAGCACTGCGCTCGCCTGGGGCAGGCCCCCCCCCCCCGCTCGGCGGCTCGTTCCCCGTATTATGCGTGGCCGCACACCGCCGTGTGTGTGGCCAGGCGGGCCGGCACCGACGACGCCTGGACACCGCCCGAAGCCGCGCAGCCCCTTCCCCCTTCTAGGCCTCCCCGATGGGGGCCGAGTGGATGGGTTTGGTGGATCGAGCCGCATCGGCGTGATCATCGGCGATGCGGCGCGATGCGGAGCCCCATTTTCTCCACGCCGACATAGCCGGTGCATCGCTGATGCGCCACCCATGCATCGCCGATGTATCGCCGATGCGCCGCCGAGGCATCTTCGATGTAGTGTCGCTGCGGCGCGAGCCTCCGACCACATCTGCCCGGAGCCCACTCGGGAGGCCTCTGCCCCCCGGCCCCCAGGGGCAACGGTACAGAAGGGGCCAATGTCAAGCAGCACCCTGCTCGCCTCCAGGGTGCCCTGGGTTTCTTGGGTTTCACTGGTTTTGCGATGGAAAGCGTGACGTGCCCACACCAAAAATCAATGGACGTCCTGGGGGTCCAGGGTTGGGTTTCTTGTGGAAGGTTTCTTGTGGTCGGGCCCCCGCTGTAGGGGGGGACGGGTTCAAATTGGGGAACGCCTCGACCCTCAAAGGATCGCCCCTCCGTGGCCGACAGGGGCCCACACGCCCCAGGAAAATATGGGAAAACATGGGAAGTGGGGGAAATGGAAAGCCAGTAAATATGAGAAAATATAGGGAATCTTAGGATTTGTGTCTATTTGATTGTGTGTCCCAGGGCCCCTTCAAACTCGCCAGTCTGTCGGCGAGGTGTCGCCGATTCCAGCTCAGTGTTTCCCCCCCTTGAGCTGGTCCCCCCCTGACGTTTCCCCTCCCCCCCTTCCTCCCTCCTCTCCCACGGCCTCTCTCGTTGCCGCCCTCCTCGCCTCCCGCCCCCGCCGCCCTCTCCTCCCCCATCCTCCGTCAGCTCCCCCTCCTCCCCGTCCGTTCTTCTCCTTGTGCTTCTCCCTTTCCCGCCTCGTGCTCCTCGGCGCTGCTTATCCTGCAACGGTGCAGGCCACAAACCTTCCCCGACGACTCCCGCTCAGCTCAGTCGGGCTCTTCAGAAGAGGTGCGCTCTTGGATGGTCGTCGGGACCGACCTCTTCCTCTTCCCGGTCCTCCCTCCTCCTCGTGCCCCTCTTCCGCCTGCGTCCTCCCCTTCCCATCCTCCGCCACCTTCCCCTCCTCTTCCTCCTCCTCGTCTCCTCCTCCTCCTCCACCTCGTCGTCGTCGTCGTCGTCGTCGTCCTCCGCCTCCTCCTCCTTCATACCCCCATCCGTGCCCCCCTTCCACTTCTCGCTCCCCCCCCCGCTCCCTCCGGAGGCATCCCGCCCCTCGTGCTCGCCGCGGACGAGTACCTGGTAGAGGTCTGGACGGCCCTGCTCCACTGCCTCGCCTTGCGCGCGCGCGCTTCCCGCGGGCCCGGCGAAGGTCTGGGCCTCCTGGGCTGAGGCCCCAGGGGATCACACCCTCTGGCGGTCTCTCCCCCCTCCTTCTCTTTGTCCTGCTTCTCGTCCTGCCCCTCCTCCTGCCCCTCCTCCTCCACGGAGGGGGCGGTTTCGAATCCCCTCTCCCCCCCCCTCCCCTTCTTCTCCTCTCTCCCTCTCCTCGGGCCGGCGCTGGCGTCGGCGGCGGCTGGCGGTGGCGGCGGGGGTGCTGGTGGTGGTGGTGGTAGTGGCGGTGGTAGTGGTGGTGGTGAGGTGGTTTCTGGTGGTGGTGGTGGTGGGTTCTGCTGCTGGTAGTAGTGGTGGTGGTTGTGGCGGTGGTGGTGGTGGTGGTGTGGTAGATTGTGGTGATGGTGGTGGTAGTGGTGGTGGGTTGTTGTATTGGTGGTGGTGGTGGTGGTGGTGGTGGTGAACTGTTGTGGTGGTGGTGGTGGTGGCTGAGGTGGTGTTGGTTGTGTGGTGGATTGGTGGTTGTGGTGGTGGGTTGAGGTGGTGATGGTGGTGGTCGTGGTGGTGGCGGTGGTGGTGGTAGTGGTGTTGTGGTTTGTGGTGGTGGTGGTGGTTGTGGTGGGCTGTAGTGATGGTGGTGGTGCTGGTGGTGTTGGTGGTGGTGCGTGGTGGGTGGTGGTGGTTGTGGTGGTGGTGGTGGTGAGGTGGTTTGTGGTGATGGTGGTGGTTGTGGTGCTGGTGGGTTGTGGAGGTTGTGGTGATGGTTTTGGTGGTGGCGGTGGTGGTGGTGGTGGTGCTGGTGGTATGGTGGTCTGTGGTGGCGGTGGTGGTGGTGTGGCCTTCGGCTCTTCCCGCCACGGTATGTGGGCAAAGGGTCAGAGTTCTCATGGGTGCCTCTTGAGGTGTCGTCACAGGGGTCTCGGGGGGGCGTCTGAGGAGCATGCGAGGGCTCGATATGGCGATTTGTGTGTTCCCTCTGTGTCCTCTGGGCCTTCTCTGATCATCGTCGCTGCGTCCCAGCCGTCGGCGCTGCTGGCAGGCGCCAGCGCCGGCGCCAGCGCCGCGCCGGCGCGGGGGGGGGTTTAACCCCCCCCCCTCTGGGCCCTCTCTGGTCATCGTCCCTGCGTTGGCGCTGCGGCGGCCGCCAGCGCTGGCGCCCGCGCTGGGGGAGGGGGTTATGCCCCTTGGTTCTGATCGACGGCGCCGAGTGTTGGGGGGGTGGCCCACCCCCTGGTTCGAAACGCGCCGCCGAATGTTCCCAAGGCAGGCGCCCGTGAAGCGCGCTCTCTCGGCAGTTTGTCTAAGCACCCACTGCTCCGAAGAGTTGCTTTCAGTCTTGCCAGTCCAGACATAGACGATGAGGGGGGAGCCCTCTTGGCCGCATGGGGTCACGTGTATGTGTGTGTTGTGTGTAAGTGTGTGGAATTGTGTGGGTGTTTGTGGATGATGGTGTCAGGCAGACAGTTCCCAGAGCAGAGCTCACGGCCTTGTCTGAGGTTATTCGGCATGTCAGTCGCTCGGAGCCTCTGGAGACAACTTGTGGGCATGTTCATCAATTCTAGCCAGTGGCCATGTGTGGTGGGAGGCTTGGATGGTTGCGAGTGTGAGTGTAGCCAGCCTCCAGCTCCACCGTGTTCCCTCCCACCTCGAGAAGTCAGACAACTTTGAAAGTTTCTGGAGGGCTGCAGACCCATATCGGAGCTCATGGCTAAGCACGGGCTCCTGCGCACTGCCACCCTCACCATCGAACTTGCGAGCAGGCGAAGGGCATATCCAGAGTAGCCCCTATGGTCAAGGTGCCTCGGCTCACTCCCAGGCCTTGCAGCGAGTGCGCAAAGGCCTGCCGCTCCAGCAGGAGTCTCGCTTCTTGGGCCGAGTCCATCAACCTTTGGTCGAGCTCAGGCATCCACACCCCTCGGGGCCCTTGGGAGTGCGTCTGAGCCCACTTCCAGACAGTCAGGGGAGGAGGAAACTGATTGTTTGTTGCTCCTGTCAGGCTCTCACGTTTCTTGCGGCGCGTTGTGGGATCGATCCGCGCCGAGGGCGATGAGACGCCTCCTGTTCAACGGGTGGTGGATGAAGAAGGAGATTTTTCGGATTCGGTGCGCCCTCCCCCCCAGGGTCTTTGTGTGTAGGTGCCCCCCTGCACCACCCTTTTGTCGGGCTGAGCTGCACATGTCCTCCCGCCCTGCAACCGTCCTTCAATTTGTTTTCCCAGCCCTCCCTTGGTTGCGTTCTCGTTTTGAATAGAGCAGTGGGGTGCCGACTCCCTTCTCCTCTTTCAGCTCCCGCCCTGTCCCCCTCTCGCCTGCCTGCGCCTGTCTGCACCTGCCTGCTGAGGGACCCCGCCATCCCTGGATGGCTGCAAAGTGTGAAGCTGTCGGCACTTTCGAGGGCTGCTGGGGGAGCCCGCACAGTGGGGCCCCACGCAGACCCACACGGGACCTCGCCATCCCTGGGGGGCTGCGAAGTGTGAAATTGTCGCCGCTTTCGAGGGCTGCTGGGGGAGCCCGCACAGTGGGGCTACACGCAGACCCACACGGGACCTCGCCATCCCTGGGGGGCTGCGAAGTGTGCCATTGTCGCCACTTTCGAGGGCTGCTGGGGGAGCCCGCACAGTGGGGCCACACGCAGACCCACACGGGACTTCGCCATCCCTGGGGGGCTGCGAAGTGTGAAACTGTCGCCGCTTTCGAGGGCTGCTGGGGGAGCCCGCACAGTGGGGCCACACGCAGACCCAAACTGGACCTGGCCATCCCTCGGGGGCTGCGATGTGTGAAACTGTCGCCGCTTTCGAGGGCTGCTGGGGGAGCCCGCACAGTGGGGCTACACGCAGACCCACACGGGACCTGGCCATCCCTGGGGGGCTGCGAAGTGTGAAATTGTCGCCACTTTCGAGGGCTGCTGGGGGAGCCCGCACAATGGGGCCACAACGCATACCAACACGGGACCTCGCCATCCCTGGGGGGCTGCGAAGTGTGTCATTGTCGCCACTTTCGAGGGCTGCTCGGGAGCCCGCAAGTGGGACCCCACGCAGACCAAACGGGACCTGGCCATCCCTGGGGGGCTGCGAAGTGTGACATTGTCGCCGCTTTCGAGGGCTGCTGGGGGAGCCCGCACAGTGGGGCTACACGCAGACCCACACGGGACCTGGCCATCCCTGGGGGGCTGCGAAGTGTGTCATTGTCGCCACTTTCGAGGGCTGCTGGGGGAGCCCGCACAGTGGGACCCCACGCAGACCCAAACGGGACCTCGCCATCCCTGGGGGGCTGCGATGTGTGTCATTGTCGCCGCTTTCGAGGGCTGCTCGGGGAGCCCGCACAGTGGGGCCACACGCAGACCCACACGGGACCTCGCCATCCCTGGGGGGCTGCGAAGTGTGTCATTGTCGCCATTTTCGAGGGCTGCTGGGGGAGCCCGCACAGTGGGGCCCCACGCAGACCCAAACTGGACCTGGCCATCCCTGGGGGCTGCGACATGTGACATTGTCGCTGCTTTCGAGGGCTGCTGGGGGAGCCCGCACAGTGGGGCTACACGCAGACCCACACGGGACCTGGCCATCCCTGGGCGGCTGCGATGTGTGACATTGTCGCCACTTTCGAGGGCTGCTGGGGGAGCCCGCAGTGGGGCCCCACGCAGACCCAAACGTGATATCGCCATCCCTGGGGGGGCAGCACAGTGGGGCCCCGCGCAGATCCAAACGGGCCATGGCCAGCCCTGGGGTTGCGAAGCGCGAACCTTTCGCCACTTTCAAGGGCTGGCAGCGCGCCTGCGCGTGTTTGGTGCTCGCACTGGGGGGCGCAGGGAGGCACCGGAGAGTCTGGCAGGCGAGCTAGGCCTTGACCGTTCTTACACTAGCAGCGGCGATTTGTAATTTTCCGATGCGCGGCAGCAACGCGGAGCGCTGGTCGCGCAGGTGTTGAGCACTTCGGCGAGGAAAAACGCGGCATTTCATTGTCTGGTTGCGTCTCCGCCCGTGCAACCTTATCTCGCCCATGCTCCATCATTTCGCTCCTTCTGCCGGGGTGGTTGTCCTTCCACCCCGATGTCGTCCTTGTGCTTCTCCTTCCCAGTATAATGCCTCCTGGCTTTTTGTACCTCTGTCCTGCGAGTCAGCCGCGCACACTTCGCACGAGATAGATATCCGCCGCGCGCCGTCTCTTGCAGCGTTGATGTCGTATTCTTGCCGGCGCACTTTATGTCATCCCTTGGTGCCGATGGGTTGTGTACATCGCAGGGTGATGTTCTGCGCTCGTTGCCTTCCGCCCTTAGCGAATCAGTTTTGACTCGGCTTTCAGAGTTCAGCTGCGTGAAGCAGACAGTCAATGATTCTCCTCTTGCCCGCCCCCTACTCGTCCTTCTTTTCCTCGTCTTGCTTCTCCTCCTGCCCCTCGTCCTCTTCCCCTTCGTCCTTCTCCTTCTGCCCCTCCTCCCTCTCCTCCTCCTCCGCCTCCTCGCCTTCCTCCTCCTCGTCCTGCTCTTCCCGATCCTCCTCCTCCTTTTCCTCCTCCTCCTCCTCCTGCTCCTGCTCCTGCTCCTGCTCCTGCTTCTCCTCCTCATGCCCCTCCTCCTCCTCCTCCTCCTCCTCCTCCTCTTCGTTCTCGTCCTCGTCGTCGTCCGCCTCCTCCTCCTCCTCCTGCTCCCTTGCTCCTCGTGCTGCTGCTTTTGCTGCTGCTGCTGCTGCTCCTCCTCGTCCTCCTCCTCCTCCTCCTCTTCTTTTCCCTTCCCCCTTCTCCTCCTCCTCGTCCTCGTCCCCCTCCTCCTCCTCCTCCTCCTCCTTCTCGTCCTCCTCCCTCCTCGTCCTCCTCCTGCTCCTCCCTTTTTTTCCTCCTCGTCCTCCTCCTGCTCCCCTCTTCTCCTCCTCCCTCCTCCTCCTCCTCCACCTCCTCCTCCTCCTCCTCCTCCTCCCCCTCCTCCTCCTCCTCCTCCTCTCCTCCTCCCTCCCTCCTCCTCCTCCTCCTCGTCTCCTCCTC